CGAAACGCTAAAGAGTATGAAGAAATAAATTTGATTGTCGTTACCACCACACGTTTAAGTACTTCCTTCCAATATTTTTTTTTCATTTATAATTTGTTTTTCCAGTTTAGTGTCAATGCGTCCGGTAATTTTAGATCTCGTTATAATAATTAAAATGGAGTTAATGTGGTCACAGGAGTTTTCATGCTCTGACAATTTTTATGTACATTTTCCCAATCATTCGTACCTTTTGTCATTAGCATTGTTTGCTTGAAAAATAATTTACAGACGTACCAGTACAATAAGTTGTTGGTTTCAGTATAAGCCAACCAATCTCTTTTAACTTTTTCCCGCTATTAATTGTTTTGAAGAAGGAGGCAATAGTTAATTTTCTTGTGATTTGTTTTGACCTTCGTTGCATCGAATAGAAGATGATTCCAACGATCCATTTGTTGATTTTGGTGGATTTTTTATACAGGGTGTCCCAAAACGACCGCATAAACTCTGCACAGCTAGATTCCTCGTTGGGAGTACATAAAAACTGCCCAAAGAATCGTTCCTGTAAGATCCATAGTTTACGAGAAAAATACGAAAAACAAAGTATGACGTCACCATACCCTCCAACTTATGAGGATTTTGAAAATAATACTTTCTAGTGGTAGCGAACCAAAGTAGAAATTTTTAAAGCAAATGGATCTCTCATAAAACTTTTATCAGAACTTAAGAATCTAGCCATATGGCCTGCACTTTTATAAGTAATAGTGAACAAGTTACGCTAAAATTAATTTTTTTTAAATATTAAGACATTAATTTTGCTACCGTCTGAAAAGAAGATTTCTGAAACTACGGAAATTCCGTAGCAGTTGGAGGGTATGCGTCACTGCCGGTGCAAGCAAAAAACACTTTATTGGACATATCAACAACAGTATTTGCATATCTTTCAAGACGATAATGTTTAAAACGTTCGCCGCGCATATTCTGCTTTAAATTGTGCATAGTATACTGCTGTTGATACGTCCAATAAAGTGTTTTCTCTTGCATCGGCAGGGACGTCATACTTTGTTTTTCGTATTTTTCTCGTTAACTATGGATCGTACAGAAACGCTGCTTCGGGCAGTTTTTATGTACTCCCAATGAGGAATCATTTAGTTCGCTCCTGCGTGTGTGGTGGCAGAGTTAACAGAGTTATCCCGTAATCTTTACACAGTTGCAAACCCTCAGCAGATATATGTGATCCATGATTGTCAAGTATAATCAATACCTCTTTATCTTTGCTGCATTTACTAAATTTTATGAAATGATGAAGGTATAATTGAAAGTTCTCTGCTGTCATCCATCCACTCGGATGAGCTGCAGCTTGCATTCCTAGAGTCCCACCCTTTGTCATTATTTCTTTTACATGAACTCGTGGAAATACTAAAAATGGTGGAATCGATGTTCCAATTGCAGAGATACCACAGCACATTGTGACTAAAGTTCAACGTTCTGCAGAGGTGACTTGAGACACTTGCTTCTCCCCTTTCATTGCAATAATTTTTCGTGATTTGTGTACGGTCGTGATTCCAGTCTCATTGAAAATTGCTTCCGGGCCAAATTTCTTTTTTTCTAAGATGCAGTGCAAATTATTGAAAAACTCTCTGACGGTTGTTTTATTGAAAGCAGTGGCTCTGGACAAACTAGTTGATTCAGGCTGACGTAATGATAAATTTGCATGCCTGTGAAAAAAAACCTCAACCAATCATAATTTGCAGTTTTGTAATTTTTTGGAATTACTTTATTATTTGCAACAGCATTTTGGTAAGCTAAGTTTCGCGTTGCTTTTGAAGTTAAACCATGTTAGCAACGTAACCGTATTAGCAAAGTTAAGCAACTTTGAAGCATGCAGTAAATAAGCTTTAAGCACATGCTCTTATTCATTGGAAAACACCTGGCAAGAAACGTGGTTTGCCTTAAATTCTATTTTGCCATCTTCTGATTTTTTATATTTATCTACATAGCTGCCTAAAGTTTTTCGGTTGATTCCATACTCAGTAGCTACAGCTCTTATACTTTTACTCTTTTCAATTACTAACAAAACAGCAGATTTCATTTTGGTTGGAGATACCTTGCATCTTTTATTATTTGACTTCCACAAAAAAGGTATGGTGGCAAAAAAGGCAAAAAGTTAGGCTTAGCAATTGTAAGCATGTTTTAACTTTAAAATTATTAAGAAAGTATATATTTTAATTCCCACATGCTCTGTTTAAAAGTATTTTATTTCTAGCATAAGAAATTGTCTTTTAAATTAAGCATTAAATGTAATTCTGGACCTTTCAAAGCAAAGAAAATTAGATTATATCTTACCTGCTGAAGAGAGAACGGCTTAGATTATATCTTACCTGCAAAATACATTGAGGAGTTGACTGTGCTGCCATCTATGATAACCTAAGAAAACTAATTCCTATCTAGAAAATCAAAGCTGAAATTTAAAGTGTCCCAAGGTGACCCACCTTCCCCTACTGATTATTTTAGTGCATGAACATCAATGTGACAAATTTTTTGAAATTCACCCAAATAATTATTCCAAAAAAAAAACATCGATTTATAGGTAAAAAGTATCTGAAAGGGAACTTCTCTCCTTCAGCACACTTCAAGCGTGTACCCATGACTTCTGGTTTAGATACTCCCTGATGCTCAAAGCTTGTGGTGGCTATACTCGTTATTACCCTCTTAATAGCCTAGCTCAACCAAGAGTAGAAATGCGTAAAGGAAAGTGTTTTAAAGTTTGGGCGTAAAATAGGACATGACAACTTGGTGTAATAGTCTAGGTGTCACATAATTTCAAGTAACAAATGAAAACCACTTTTTTTGAACCAGGTTTTTTGGAAAAAAACCCGGTTTTTTCGGTTTAAACCAGGTTTTCTCCCCCGACATTCTTTTTTCAACTAATATACATACTGAAAAAGGAAAATTACTTCCAAGAACAATTAAAATGAATAATAAGCAATTATATCAAACCGCACTAAATTTTATTAAAATACAGGATTGGGGAAAAAAACAGGAAAAGTTTAGAGAAAAACTTTTTTTTTACCATTGAAAAGCAAGTTTAGGATTTAGCACTTAGGATTCAAAATTTGGACAAAAACGCAAGTTTTGCAGCTTTTTCTAAGCCCAGTCTGTTACGCAATTTTGAATGTACAACTCCAAAAGTAGAAAAAATTCTTTCAACGTTCGCTGTAGCTGCTTTCGCAGTAAGAATTACTTCAACTTCCTTAAACACATCGGCATTAAACTTCTTAATATAGTTTTCTTGCATTCGTCACCATTCTATAACTGTTACTTTTCAATAAATTCCTTTTAAAACAGATACCTTTGGAATGGGAAACTTTTTGCACAAAATTTTAATATCAGAGTTAATAAGTTATTTTTGGGAAACATTTTCTTGGCTAACCGTTTCTTTTTTATCTGTTGACAATTCGTAATCATCTTTATCTACAGATTTTGGATGCAATAGAAAAGCGAGGTGGGCTGGTGTTATTGCCATTTCATAACGATGATCTAATTTTTTCAGTACATCTTTATTGAATTTCTTATCGTGCATTTGCTTTTTTAAAAATTAAAACAGTCTCTCCAATCGAACAATTTTCTCTCTGTGCCCTATCCAGAGCTACACTAATTGGTTTTAACTGCTGCAAGTAATCTTCTGCATTTCTTTTCAATGAAATTATTTGAAATTAAATTTTGAATCAATCTGATCTTTATAGCTTTCACTATGTTTACGTGAATGGGCCAAGATTTTAGATACCTCTCTAAGGCGTCTGCAAAAGAATCCCAACGAACTTCACATGGCAATATTAACTTTGGTGCATTTGACTTTTCTAAAGCAAGCACTTGCAAAATGATAATTCCTAAAATGCTTAATTACATGCAAAATTTGTTCTCTTACTTTTGGATCACTTTCATCCCCAGCCAGTAAGTTCAAAATATGAGCAGCACAACTGTAAGTAATAACTCTGAATTCTTCATCCTCAACTTCACACTCATCAGTCATACTGCAATGCGAATCTGTAGCGGCGCATTTCGAACGTCCCCAGTCGAAAGTTTATATAGTATATGTAATTTATCATCTCTCTATTTTCGACGTATGCAGCTCTGTCTTACATTTTACTTTCGTGTTATGTCATCTAAATCTCATCCTCTTCGACAGGAGGTTATTCCATTAAGCTTACGACGATTATATGATGCGCGACCCTCATACACACCTCCTTTTAATGCTCGTATGCGTACAGTTATTCAGACATTCAATTTTTGCGAATCACCATCTCAATCAACCGATCACTTTCTTAACAAACCTTGGATTATCCCATCATATCACTTTTATTCTCCATTTGCTTCATACAAAAAATCCAGTATATCTCCTAGCGTGTATATTCAGCTATTCATCTCTCATCGTCATGAGTATTCTCAGTATGTTTCTGTTTTTACGGATGGGTCAAAATCTCCAGGGCATGTTGGATGTGGAATCATTATAGCTGATCGAACATACAGTTATATCATACCTGCCATATGTTCTGTATTTACTGCTGAAGCTGTGGCCATTCTCATAGCTCTACGACTTATCTCATCACTGACCGCACGAAAGTTTTGCATTTACTCTGACAGCCAAAGTGTTTTACGTCAGCTGAATAATCATGTNCAGATGACGATTGTGACCAGCCGATTGATGCACACAGGCCAATATGCACCTCCCGTTTACCTGAAGCACGGGCCAAAGCAGTGTATTGGGGTACCAAGATGCCCCTCAACTGCCAGGATCCCCTTTTCCAGGGACACGGGTCTCCACGCACGGCAAACACGCGGGTGGTCTCTTCCCATCTATGTCCAACACAACAGAGTGGTAATCAAACACAGATGACAAGCCCTCACCAGTAAATTTGGCAACCACGACAAGGGGGAAGAGAAAGGGGAAAGTAGGAGTAAAGGGAGAGGAAAACGAAGGGAGGACAGATCACTAGGGTACCCCGGGGCGTGACTCCCTGTGCTTACCTAAAGAAGGTAAACCCCCTCAGGGGCCCTAAGTATTTGATTGATGTTACTGGTTTAATAGATTGATTATTTATCTTTACTATTGGTGGTGTTTGTTTGAATGGATTTTTAAAGGTCATGAAATTGCATTTATTTATTGAGAGGTTCAGGTGATATTTAGTACAAAAATCATTAAAGGTGTTCATGGCCATATTAGCGTTAGTTTCTAATTCGTTACGTTTATTGCCTGATATGATGAAACCGTAGTCATCTACGAAAGCTATTGTCTTTACATTGTTTTGATTAAAATCTTGCAGGAAAATGTCCGCGATAATTAACCACAGGAGTGGGCCTAGGCATGACCCCTGTGGGCAGCCCTTGTAGGTGTTAAGTTTAGTTTGTCCTAGACCGCCGTCGAATTCAATTGATCTGTTGGTTAGGTAGCTGTTGATTAAGTTTACTAGCTGCTTCGGGCAGTTGAGATCGTTTAGTCTTGTTATTATTTGGTCCCAATGTATTGAGTCGAAGGCGCCCTTAATGTCGACCGAGATTAGCATTTTGTAATTAGTATTTTTACAGTTTTTGTTCTTTTTTGCTGTTTTTGCTTCGTTGATTACTATTTTAAGTGCTGACTCTGTTGATCTGCCTTCTCGGAAGCCGAATTGTTTATCACTGAGTTTATTGTTTATTTCTAAGAAGTGTATTAGTCGTTGGTTGATTATTTTCTCTAGTAATTTGCCTAATGTTGGTAGAAGGCAGATCGGTCGATATGCATCCGGTTGTGTCGTGTCCTTGCCAGGTTTGGCGAAGTACACGACGGTAGCTGATTTTAAGTTATTTGGAAAGTGGTTTAGAGTTAAGAATTTGTTGACCCAGTTAGTTAGAATGTTCGAGTCGGCCTCGAAGACGCGCCTCCAAATCATGAAGTCTAGCCCGTCTGGACCTGGTGCTTTAGTTGTAAGGAAGGCAAAGAGAGCATCTCTCACCTCCTTTGTGTCTGCGTGTAGTTCAGTGTTTGTGTGTTGTGTGTATAGAGGTGGTTGGTCCGCGATGGTATCGTCTTTGTCTGGGAAGTGAAATTTGGATGGATACACCAGGACTTCCTGTTTGTTTGGAATATTATTGTTAGGTAATTTTAGGTTAAGGTCTGTTGGTTTGAATAGTTTACCGTGGCCCAGTTTATAAGCTGCACCATAAGAGTCTGAATGATTATTGCAGAATTGCTTCCAGGAGGTTTCTTTTGCTTTAGTTATTAGTTTGCGGTATGTAGCTTTTGCTTTATTGTATTCTTCTTTATTGAGTTTGGTTTTTATAGGGTCTTTGCTTGCTTGTAATCTTTTATTTAGTGCATTTAACCTATTTCTTTCGTATTTAAGTTTGTTTGTCCACCATGTGGGCGAGGTTGAGGGTTTAATCTTTCTGTATCTGTATGTTTTAGTTGCTATTGCGGTTACTGTTTTAATTAGAGCCCTGGTGTGCTCGTCTAGGTCTGTTATTGTTGCTATTTTATTGCAGTTGTCTATAAGGCCTGAGGCCTCGCTCTGTATCAATTTGATAAACTTAGGATGGTTGCCAAAATTAGTTTTTAGACGGTTTGAAGTTGGAACAATTAAGGATTGGCTAAGGTTAAACGTGATATATCTATGATCGCGCGCAGTATGTGTATCGTTGACGGTCCAGTCGTTGACTAATATGGAGCCGTCACGATTTCCTATGGTGAAGTCGGGATTACCCTTCGCGTGTGGCGTATAAAAAGTAGTTAGTGGTGTTTGTACGTTAAGTCTAATCAGGTCATGGGCAATATTAAAGTCTATTAGAAGATCTCCTCTATTGTCTGTTGTTGTGTTGCCCCATTGAGTTGACCTGGCATTCAGATCTGCACCTAGTATGAGTGGTTTGTCCGATATTAGGCCGCTCCACTCATCTAGTGCTGTTGAGAGATCTGCGTGTGGCCTGACGTACTGCGAGCCGATAATGATGTTACCTAATGAGGTAGTTATGTTAGCGAAGGCTGCTGATTCAGTTGCTGGTATTAGATTTATTGTTGTTGTTTTAGTTATGACCAACCAGGCCTCTTTATTATTGGAGTGGTGTGTGGTCCACTGGTTTGGGTAACCATATAGTTTGCTATTGGTTAGGTAAGGATCTTGAATTAAAATTATAGCTACGTTATTATCTTGGGCGAACCTGGCAGAGAGGGCTGTTGCCGCTCTGCAGTTGTTTAAGTTAATTTGGAGGCATTTAATTTGGTTTGGTAATTGATTGGTCATGTTTGCTATTGTTTGTTGCTTACCTTGTTGCAGACAGATATTAATTGGCTGAAAGATAAGGATTGTTAATTTGTTGTGTGGTCACAAGCCCGACCAGGAGAGTTATTGATATGGGATTAATTTGGAATAAAGATGGAGAAAACTTAGTTATTGGATTGAAAATTTACTAGAAATTAAGTTTTGTTGAGTAGGACTTTGATAGTTTGCTAAAGTTAGAATTAAGATTATGGCCAATAGCCGTATTTAACTTGGTGGTATGTTGGACAGTACCTGTCGTTAGCCTTATGGTATATGTCTAGTGGGTACCACTCCGGGTCCTGCTTGTGGTACTCATTCATGTATTAACAGTTGTAGCAAACACAGGAGTCTCTGTTGATGCAGTTATTGGTGTGGTGTTTGCCTGCGCAGTGCATGCAGATGGGGCCGGAATCACAAACAGATTCCTTGTGGTTGAGGTTTTGGCACTTATGGCACCTATTTATCCTAACAAATTTAGATATTGAAGAGCGGCTTAGTCCGAAATAAATGTGCTGCTGCCGGCAAAGAATATTGGCAGAGACTTTGGTAAGGGAGATCACCCAATGCTGCAGCAACTGGTTGCTCCTGTGTTTGTTGACCCTATACAAACGGATAGGAAAGTCTGTTTGATTGGTGCCCAACTGAGCGTGCAGCCTATCGAACAGACAGTCCTTTGTAATGTAAGTTGGCACGTTAGTTATGATGATATTTTGTNGGCAATGACTTGGCCGATGTTGCCGCACGATCTGCTACAAACCCTTTCTCTCTGTCTATACCATACCAAGATATAAAAACACACGTACGACAGCTTACAAAGTCTCTATGGTTGCAGCAGTGGGATCTCCAAATTAATAATAAATTGCGCGCTATAAAAATTGATTTAGATCCATTGCCTGTGCTACGTAATCGTAGGGCAGACGTCAAACTTACTCGTCTTCGAATTGGCCACACTCGATTGACCCACCTTCACTTGCTGTTTGATGAACCCTCTCCTCACTGCAATACTTGCAACGTTTTACTCACAATCCATCACATTTTAATTTATTGCCCATGTTTTAACCGTCATCGTTTAACCTTTTTTGGTAGTTCTATTTTAACACTGCAGGATTTGTTAGGTGACTGCCATCATCCTAACATTTTTGCGTTTCTACGCGCAATTGGTCTCTTATACTGTATATAACAGTTTTTATCCTATTTACAATTTTATGTGTCTTTATTCAGCTTTGAATGCAACTGTTTTATGATACTTAACTACATTTAAATTTTATCTTGTTTTACTTACTCTTGAATGCGTTGGTTTCGTTGTATTCAGTTTTATAAATGCCGTGTGATTTTGATGGGGAAAACTTGTAGTATACATCTACCTAGGATTTTATTTTAAAACCGTTTGTTTGGCGCAGCATGTCCTTCTGTGGACTTTGTGCCATTAAACCCAACATTCAATTCAATTCAATTCAATTGCAGCCTTTGCGATATCTTCTTCACGCGTCTGACCTTCGAGTGGCAATAATTCTAAAAGTTCTTCTTTAGACCCTGAATGAGACATAAATCGTACAAAAAGTGAAACTTGCGCCGTACCATTTATGTCACAAGACTCGTCAACTGCTATTGATATAGCCGAAACCAATTTCAGATCTTCGATATGCTGGGTGGATATATTCGAACACATTTTAATTGTTCTATCTTTAATGGTTTTAGCAGACAATGGTAACTCTTTAATTCTTTTCAGAATATCTGCTTTGTTCTTAAAATACCGAAATAGCTCTTCGGATGCATTTATTAAACAATTTTTTATGTATTCGCCTTCTGTGTACGGTTTCCCTCTCTTAGAAATCTCTTGGCTAAAAACAAAACTTGCCATATTATTATTGCTGGAAGATTGCATCCAGTTATTAAACACAGAAGTTGACGACTCTTGACTCTTCTGAAGTTCCTCAACTGCTTTCTTCCTTGCATCACCGGTAGGATATTTAGTGCTAAATGACGCTTGCTTTCTTGTAAAGTATCTCTCTAAATTTGGCTTCTTGTTATGCGCGAATTTCTCCTTACAAACATGTCGGAAATCCATTCAAGTTTTAAATAAATGCAAAATTCTCGGTCCTCTCAACTTTAAATTCGCGGTTTTCATCTTCCGTTTTTCTTTGCTTTTTTTTTTTTGGTAGCCATGTTAATTGGGGTGCCTATAAAAATATTCCAAATATATTTTTTTCTAAAGCCACCAGTACAAAATTATTATCATTGCAGAGATACCAACTGCTCTGGACACGCCAAAATATTTATAAAAAAAACAGTAAATAACTACGAACTAAGTTTTGCAAGAATTTGCCTAATTTTGCTTAATTTTTATATGGTATAGCATCACATATCAGTCATTGAGTGGTGAATTGTATAAACCTACATTATTTAGAAATAGTGGTGGATAAAAGTCTCGCAAATTGAAAGTATTAAACCAAGAATCATAATAGATAAACTACCACTTTAAAATATTTATTTGCTGTCTAGAGCAAGTTGGCAATCTCTGTCATTATCAAATTGAGGAAAATAAAAACTAATTTATGATTAAATGAGTGATTCACTCCCCAGTGCCACCGTTTTTCGCTGAAGTGCGCTTTGTTACACGGTGTTTTGGTGAGGGAAAAAGATGCACGCGTTGCAATTTAAAAACAGTTTACTTTCACAAGGGAAGGAAAAGGAAAGACAGAAAATACAAAACTTAAATTAAAGAATAAAAATACAATATACAAGATGTTAAAACTTAGCTGTTGTATGATAAATCCTTAAACATGGTTGGACACATAAATCAACATCACATTCATTGCACTGATAGCGAGATTCACGACGAATACACACGGGAAACGAAAGCGAAAGAAGAATAAGCTCGATCTTATTCAAATCGAAACACACAAGCAAAATATACGAGATTACTTTTCCAACACATCCCTTTCCCATTCCCCCTCCTCAGGACCGGCCCTAGACATTTTGGCGCTCCGGGCAAAACCTTAATTTTGCGCTCCCCCTTCCCCCGTTTTTTTTTTAAGTAAATCTCATGCGACCATATCAGAAGGTCAAGAAAACATTAAAAAAAAATATAAAAGAGAAACGTTTTATTAAAAACTGAATCATCAGATAACAAGATAAGCAATTTAGCACTTAGGCAAAATAACAGAAATTAAAGTGTAGTAATGCTAACTAAACGAATATCCCATATTATAAATAAATTCTAACTAACCAAAGTAATTAAAATGCCCTTTTTCTAACTTTTCTTTCGGCAAACTCACGAACCAGTGATTTCAAGTCTAATTTGTTACTAATTTGGTGTTCTATAGCTATCATTGCCAATCCATTGACAGGGTGCGTAGCGTTTGTAAAAAGTACTTAAAGGTGCTTTTTGGGGGATTTCGTTTTTAAAAGCTTTTAAACCCAAGTAGCACCGAATATTAGCTAACATCAGAAAATAGGTAAAATCTAACGTTATCTTACATAACCTCTAATATTAGAAAGATACAAAAGGTCGCTGTTTGCTCAGCCTTATATAATATTAGATTCTATGCAAACTAATATTATCTAGCGTTCGCCATAATATTATTTTGCATTAGTTTTGATGCTATATAATATTAGATTTTGTATTTTCTGATATTATTTTGCTTTGCTTTTTATTTTTTT